GGCCATTTGACCTTTTTTCAAGCCGACTGTTGAAAAGTAGTACTCCAGTCCAGTTTACATTTCTCCTATGGGTGAAATTTGGCATCTTTTCTCTTTCTTGTGAACTGTTTGTTCTCATCCTTTGCCCACTTATCTATTTATTGGGTGATGGTTTTTGCGAATGATTTTTTAAGCTCTTTAAGTGTTAAGTATATTAGCCATTTGTGCTATGAATCACAAATACTTTTCCCCAACCTCGTTTTCTTTTTCTTTTTCTTTTTTTTTTTTGCCCTGGGAGTATCTTTTATATTACGTAGTTTAACCTGTCAGTGCTTTCTTTCATGGTTTCTGGGGTTTGTATCTGTAGAAAGTTTTGAACAGTGGTCAATATCTGGGAGTTAGAAAGAGCCCAAGAGTGCTGATATGAGGCAGACCAATGGAGTGAGACGAGTCTGGGGGACCTCGGGTTCTAGTTCAAGTAGTTCAGACACCAGTGTGAAGACAGTGAATCATGGATCTGAGCAGTGATTAGAGAACCCTAACCTCTGGTGGCGGGGGGTGCGTGGTGGCCAGGAGAGAAGAGGAGTCACCTCTGGGTGCCAAGAATGTTGGAGGCAGGGTCTGGCCTCTGCACTCAGGCCACTTGCTCCCTGCCCCTGCCCAATCCAGGAGGAGCTGGAGTTCTGCGAAAAGCTGCTACAGACCTGTTTCTCCAGCCCGACGGACGACAGCATGGATCGGTGAAACCGGGTGGCTTCTTGCCCCTTTCTCCGTGGGAACCCCAGGCCTCTTGCCTCCCTCCCCACCTACAAGGCCCTCTCCCAAGGGATCGCACGGCCTAGGTGCCTGGACCCAGGGCGTGCCAGCCCGTCTCTGTGCAGTTCCTGGAAGGGCCGCTGAGAAAGGCACCAGCTCCTTGGATCCCACCTCCCATGCTCTCACTCTCATCCCCGTTCTCTTGTCCACACAGCTCTTCCAATAAAGGTGTTTCTCTTCCTTCTCCTCCTCCTTCACTGCCGCCTTTGTCACCTCCTTTGGAGGGTGCATGGGGGACGGGAGGAGGGGCACGAGTTTAAGGGACTTGGGGAGCCACTGGAGGAATAATAAAAGTGTTGCTGTTTATCATCTACAGAGCCATTGTGTCATTTAATCTTCCCTGCCTTTCCTGAGCAAGAGTGCGTGGGACATCTGTCCTTTTTCGGCCACCTGGCAAACCTGAATTCTAGGTTTGAGGAATTTCCCAGGTTAGACATCTAAATCTTCCCTAGGGTAGCCGCCATTTCCCCTCCCAGCATCCTTTGCTGTAGGGTAGTCATGTGACATTAGCTCCAAAAATCAGAACTCTCCCTGGGAATATGTTTCGTACACCAATCAGAATCCACTGGTGGTCTAGCTCCTCTACCAATCAGAGCCCGCCGGTCTTCGGGCCAAGAGCTGGCGGCGGAGATGCTCACGCCCAGTTTCCGTTCTGGCTAGCGCAGGAGCAGACACACCTGGCTTCTGGAGGGGGCTGGCACAGATTCTGGCGGGAGTGTCTGAGCCAGGTGCGGGCGATGGAGGCTGCACTGTGTCTCAGGAGCAGGCCTGTGGCTGGGTGTGGGCTTCATTCCTGACTGCAAAGCGCCAAGCGGATTCTGTAGCTTTCTCAAATGTGGGATTGGGGTGGGAGGTGGGGGTGTCGAGGGCTGCCTCAACTCCTTTAATAAATTTAGCTACAAGAAATTTTGTCATTTGCAGACAAGAGCTTTGACTGCTGTCGTTTTTCAGGAGAGGAGGCTGAGCTCAGAGGAGGCTGAGCCCTGACCAAGTTCACAGCCAGGATTCACACCTGGGCCAATTCCAGAGCCATCCTCCTTTTTCTTTCTCTTTTATTTT